GTTTGTCAAACTGGGTCCAGAAAGAGCTGGTGCCAGGGTTTCATTCCAACCACGCAGTAGCACACCATGACCACCCATTTCCTGAACAAATAAACAAATAAACTTGTCTTGCCTCATAAAACAAATGTTTATGTTGATCCATCTGTGTATGATGTCTGACACTACTTTTTGTTTTGCACTGATGAAGAGGTACACAAAATACATTTTTTGACACTGTTGTATTTTTAAGTAAATGAGATTGTTTATGAAGAAAGACATTCACTGTTCGTGGATTCAATAAGAGTGGTCTATGTTTCAGTCATGAACTCTGAGAAAATTGTTTTACTTCTCAAAACTTCAGCAGCAGATGAGCTGCAGACGGCGAGAAGGGGAGATGCGGGGAGGGGTCTGGGGAACAGCGAACAAGATACTTTTCAAATATTGCATTATATGATTACACTGTGTGTAGCACTTGAACTTTTAGTGACCGTGAAATTGTGAATAAACATAAACATGTTTAAAGGGAAACTATTACAACTTGATGAAAGGCTCTGAGGGGGAAATAGGGAAAAAGACTTTTAACACATTATATATGAAAATATGATTACTTTTATCAAACTTGGTGAGAGGCAAAGAATTGCATTCTGATCCGGCACGCGAGCTTTGGATTCGCCACCCGTGCTCGAGTGCATTGGTCATGATGTGCTCACTGAGTTGTTACCACTGCACAAAATGCCAAATTACCCAAAGTAAAACCACATAAGTACAAAACATGAAAAATGTGAACACACAAATTCAAACATCTGTGGGACCTGGTAATCTTAATCCCTACTTCTTGTAATTGGCTGCAGATTTCATGAACACACATTTTCAACCTCATTGACTTATGTCATATGTCTGTGTGAAGGTGGTAAAAAGCAAAGAATTACTGACAGATTTCAAAATGATAAGCCTTTATTTCATCATTAGATGACAAATAACACTGCAGCTTTTGACAGCTTTTTCTCCCATCCAGTCAGCTTATACAATACCAATCAACACACATACACATTTATTAAAGAACATTCTATCATTAACATGGTAGAACATATGGTAGAACAGCAGCAAAGGCAGGTGTTTTTAATTAAAGAAATCCTGGGTCCTAATGGCGTTCCATTATACTTGCCATGACACCTCTTTTGACAAAAGCCAAGTGATGTGAACCACATCTGCTTATGGTCAATCTTGATTTTTTCTACTAAAATAAGTAAAAAGGTGAGGATCTCGTAAAATTTTGTTTCTCGCTATGATGTTAACCAAAACCACCGGGATGAATGTACACTATCCTTCAAAAAGAAATAAGCAAGCAAACCAATAAGAATATACAGGATAATACATACATGTGCAGGTATGAATAGGGAATAGAAATGAAAAATAAATATTGTCAATCAAAGCTGCCTAAACCACAAACAATCTTCCTTTTGGGATCCGCTTTTCCGCAAATTGCACTGATTTGAATTTTCAAACAGACTGGAGTTATGTATTTTCCAGAAGTCTTATTGTGTGTCCACTGTGTCTTTATTCTAGCATCTTGGTTTTGAGAAACCGTAATGAAAACAGATGTCAGCCAACGTGGATACCTGGTCAAAAATATGATCCAAACCTTCAACAAAGTAATGATTCACATCAGGTTGTGGGTTTAGTCTGAACAAAATTACAATACGAGTCGAACCAAATGTAGAATGGACATGCGAGGCGTGCATGAAGTTAGACCACAGCTGCCAGAACAGACTGACCCCTCTCAATGCAACTACCATCAACACAAGACTAAAAGGAATCTATAATGACAACCCAACAGAGCACATACCTCTACCAAGAGGTAGGGCTGGGCGATTAATCGATTTTAATCATTAATTCGAGTTTTACGTTTAGGGCGATTTCTTTTTTTAAAAATTCGATTTTTATTTTCTCCAGCGCAGAACTACAGCGCTAACGCGCTAACCGCGGGTCTATGGTGTTGAGCAGTCATTTTGAAGCTAACCTAATGCTAACAGTCTCCCTCTGGCCTGATGCTCGCTCTCACAGTTGGTGCTGTTGCAATAACACTTCAAAAGTTCAAGAATCAGACTTTATTTAAATCGCCAGAACACACACACACACACAGGCTCCGGTGTTACGTCGAGCCGCGTTTCCCCGTCAGATACTGTTTCCCCTGCGTCTACTCGCCGCTCCGCCCCGCTCCGCGCCGCTCCGCACCTCGCACGCGGCAAATAGTGCGCGTGCTTGTTCAGCACTCGTAACCAGCGAGCCGTGCTTGCGCGGCGAGGCAACTAGAGACACAGTGAAAGCACCTGAGTGAAGTTGGCCCCTACCCCACGCAAAACTCAGTGAAAAATAGCCACACTCGTTAGTGCAGAAAAAATATCGTTTGTGCTGTTTTGGTTTTTCAGGTATGACAACTTTATATTAATATAGCCTATGTATGTATGTATGTATGTATGTATGTATGTATGTATGTATGTATGTATTATATATAAACAGCCTATATATATATAAACAGCCTATATATATAGCCTATATAAACAGCCTATATATATATAAACAGCCTATATATATAGCCTATATATATATATATATATATATATATAGCCTATATATATATATATATATATATATATAGCCTATATATATATATATATATATATAGCCTATATATATATATATATATATATATATATATATATATATATATATATATATATACAGCCTATATATATATAGGCTATATATATATATATATAATATATATATATATATATATATGTATATATATATATTCACAAATATATATATATAAATACATTTATCTATCATGTGTATATATACATGTATTCCCTCAGTGTTAAACAGGGGAAACGCATCCTGATGGCCAAATTACCCCCGTCAGATACCGTTCCCCCTGTGTTAAACGGGGGAAACGGTATCTGACGGCCAAATTACCCCCATCAGATACCGTTCCCTCAGTTTTAAACGGGGGAAACGCATCCTGATGGCCAAATTACCCCCGTCAGATACCGTTCCCCCTGTGTTAAACAGGGGGAACGCATCCTGATGGCCAAATAACCCCCGTCAGATACCGTTCCCTCAGTGTTTAACAGGGGAAACGCATCCTGATGGCCAAATAACCCCCGTCAGATACCGTTCCCTCAGTTTTAAACGGGGGAAACGCTATCTGATGGCCAAATAACCCCCATCAAATACCGTTCCCTCAGTTTTAAACAGGGGAAACGCATCCTGATGGCCAAATAACCCCCGTCAGATACCGTTCCCCCTGTGTTAAACGGGGGAAACGCATCCTGATGGCCAAATAACCCCCATCAAATACCGTTCCCTCAGTTTTAAACAGGGGAAACGCATCCTGATGGCCAAATAACCCCCGTCAGATACCGTTCCCCCTGTGTTAAACGGGGGAAACGCATCCTGATGGCCAAATAACCCCCGTCAGATACCGTTCCCTCAGTGTTTAACAGGGGAAACGCATCCTGATGGCCAAATAACCCCCGTCAGATACCGTTCCCCCGTTTAAAACTGAGGGAACGGTATCTGACGGGGGTTATTTGGCCATCAGGATGTGTTTCCCCCGTTTAACACAGGGGGAACGGTATCTGACGGGGGTTATTTGGCCATCAGGATGCGTTTCCCCCGTTTAACACAGGGGGAACGGTATCTGACGGGGGTAATTTGGCCATAAGGACGCGTTTCCCCTGTTTAACACTGAGGGAATACATGTATATATACATGATAGATAAATGTATTTATATATATATATATTTGTGAAATTATATATATATATATATATATATATATATATATATATATATATATATACATACATACATACATACATATTTATTTATTTATTTGTCATATCATATTATATATATATATAGGCTATATTAATATAAAGTTGTCATACCTGAAAAACCAAAACAGCACAAACGATATTTTTTCTGCACAAACCAGCACTAACGAGTGTGGCTATTTTTCACTGAGTTTTGCGTGGGGTAGGGAATGGGCTAAGCTTTGACGATGCGGAGGAGGCGGTGCTTTTGTCAACCTCGGGGACGCAAAGAAAAAAGGAACCCAGAGGAACTCGACCAGTAACCGAGCCAAGAATGCCGCTGGCATAAGTGGCGTGGGCGAAAACGCCAGCTGTTGCTTTGTGTACAATCACAACGTGATTGTTTGTCAGGCAGCCAAGTTATCCCCAAGAGAACATCGATTACATACACCCACAACCCTTGTATAGCCACCCCAGGACAAGGTAAATGCAAGGATTGCCACGCTCCTAATGTCATACATGGATGTCGACGCGCAGTAAAAACGGACGGAAAAATGAGGAATTCAAGAAGAGAGAAGACCGTGCGCAACAGAAGTCCCAGGAGTCACTCGACGGTGAAATAGTCCGGTCTTGACCAGTAAGCACGAGATAGGAATCCCAGTCCTGCAAATCCTCATATCATGAGCCTATTCTGTGCGTATTTTGCGTTTAATTATTTCCCAAAAATAAAAACTATTTGAGTATGTAATAGTTCCTTTTCTAATAGATAGTTTGTAGTTGGTCCTTTTGTGTGTATTATTAACCTAAATAGTACTAATTTAACAGGTATGGGGAATTGCTATAAACCTTTCAGAAAAAACTCTTGCGTGTAAATTTAATCTGGTAGTCATAACAGATCCTCTATGACAGGTGATTTATAATTAACTAGTCCTTTGACAATACACAGTACTGGGCCATTCCATAGACGTGTTCTTCTGCAGTGGTTGTTTTTATTAACTGTATGTGAAGCTATGTTACTTGCAATTCCCCTCTGGATCAATAATGAATCTATTTAATTAAACAGAAAGAACTTTTTTATAGTGTCATACTTTTGCAAAGATGTATGCTCAATATAAATTGATCTAACTTAAAATAATCTGGTGATTACAGGTGTGAAGACAGGCTCGTCTGTGTAACAATCGCCAAGTTTATGGAAAACAGAATGGTGGTGCCCATTGCAGAGGATGGAGCACGGAGTGTCCGAGAGAGAGGGCGAGCTAAGCGAGGCAGCCATCAGCGGAGCCACATCCAGGCCTTTCACCTGCAGAGGCCAGTCCTTTATGCGCGCAGAGGTGCACCTGGTAGAAAGTACCCTTCCTCCACGTTGATCGTGAACGTGTAGGAAGATGCCTGAACGGTTCCACAGTCAGAATGAGCGAGCAGATCTCCTATGCATTATTACTCTAGTGTGGTTCCTGTATGACTTCGAGACAACTTAGGATTTTTGGACATCCCTGCAACAAAAGAGCGTTTGTAGCACACTGCATAAAATCCCGTACTGAAACTGAAGATCCTGAGAGGTCAGATGAGGAAAAGCGCAAGGATGGCTGCTTCTATTCATGTTTGCTTAGGACCGCAAAGCGCGCAAGTTTTATGATTGTTTAAATCGCTTGTGTGTGGACCACTTACAACTGTATCATTTCGACAATGATGCTAAATCTAGTAGCTACCCAAAAATCTGCCCATTGGAACAGACGATATTATTCAAGGCAGTTATCTCAGTATGTGTTTGGAGTATGTGCGTACATCGTGGTCGTTGGTGCACGGTCAGGATAAACAGAAGCTGTCCCCCTTTAGCACATGGCTAGACAATGAACAACAAGACGGACAGTAAACATGGTGGCATCTGCTTTGCAACATTATCCTGAGTCGTGTTGCTTGTATGCCCCCCCCCCCACCCCCCCCCCCCCCGCCCTTAGTCACCCATAAAGAACTCCAGACTATTTTCTGATTCTTGCCTATGGGCATAAATAAGAAATGTAAGCATGCTCGCATGCTTTTTTCTCTCAAAAAGGCAAACACTAAAAAACGTTAAGAGTTGGAATATACATTCCCTGTACGTGGGCATAGCTTTATGCCCCTGACCGTGTCTTTGGACGCCTGGAGCAGGAAGTTAAAAAAAATGACACTATCCGGCTTCCATCAGAGTATGTGTACATTATGGAAAAACATGGAAACGTACACGTTTTTTGGGACCTAACACTGGGAGTGCCTCATGATCTTTAAAGGCGTGCTGCTGAACGCTGCAAAAACATTGTACCTCAGTCTCGCTCCATTTAAACTAAGTGAAGCCCAAGGCGTATCTGGAAATCCAGTGAGAGGTCAAAGTAGGCTTTATAGCCGCCGTAATGGTGGAGATTTCTGTCTACCACATGTTCTTTTTTGAAACGTGGGAAAAGATGAGACCTATCAAGCCAGCACTCGCTCAAAGAGTATACTGTGGTGAAGGCAGCGTAAAAAACGCCGATGTCCTAAAACTGCTTGGAGAGCTTGGTGGTAGGTGGACGCAGTCACTGTGAACATTCTATACAGATTGCGTTAGTTGGAGCAGGATGCCCCGATTGCAGGCAGACAGGACGCTTGGTGGAGAGTTAGTGATGGGAAGAGGCGTGATCGTGAGCAGATAGTGAAACAGATTCTCACAAACTTTGCGGAGGGCTAAATGAATTAATCAAGCTGGAGACCCAAGTCCTAATATGAAGGCTACAGCTGGTGAAACCTTTTTAATTTACTTTACATGTTTTGTCCCCAGAGTCGTGGGCGAATTGAAATTTTCCTCTTTCGACTATTAAGCTGATTTGGTTTTGAGTGCGGCTGGTTCCTTTCTCTTTTCTGATGAACCTGATCTAAAGATGACAAGGAACCCCCAAAAATACATGGAGGTGAAATAAAATCGAAATCTAGAGGCCTGTTACTTGAATATTGTGTTTCATAGGTATTTATTTTTGTTTCAAAGCTTTAATTTGGCAGATGTTGCAATGAGTTAAAAACCCCTTTAAATATTGCACTTGATAACATTTCCCTTACATGTTGACATCATTTTGTTTTGTTGTGCACTAAAATGAACTTGCTACCAAAGAAAATGTTCTT